GATCCCAGTGCTCGTCCAGCTGAGCGTCCAGAGTCGGAGCAGAGAGGACCGAGCTCAGACAGACGGTCACCACCAGGAGGGGCAGCATCGTGGCTTCCTGCTGGAAAACAACCAGTAAACAAGTGTGAATCCCTGATGGAGGCCTGGAGCTGCATTACAACACACACACACACACACACTCTTTATTGTCTGTGCACAACAACAGATGAGTCATGGTTCAAATCCCTCATCACGTGTTGACATGAGCAGATTCAGCTGGAATGAGGATTTCAGTGTTTAGATGTGGATGGAGGAAACATTTTGTTCTCAGGAGCTGAGTCTTGGCCACATCCCAGAATTTGTGCTCAGTCACGGGATCGAATGAAGGAAAGAGGCCCGGACATGGAGGCTGAGAACCGGGGTGTGGGACTTAATTAAACCCAGAAACTGTTTTTTCTTTTTTTCCTCCAGTGTGGATCCACAGGCTGAGGCGTGTTTCTCCCTTTTAAATTACAACCCTGACAAAGAAGCTAGCAATGGCTGCTGCTTCGGGGAGAAGACGGGGAGGGGAGGACAATGGCAGCCGAATGAAACAAGATGGCCCGGGCTGGAGGAGGATCATAAAAAATATCCACATTCTTCATCCTAACAACAAGAAAAGTCGACAAACTGGCTTAAATGGACGTTTTCAAAATGGACCCCGGGGGTGTCTAAACGCTAAGCTTCGCCTGACGAATAAAAAAAAAGACCCAGAGGAAATAAAAACATCGACGAGCTGCTGCAAAACGTCTAACGTCGAAGTTTTACGACAAACTTTCAGCGAAACAAGAGGAAACAACGAGGATCTTACTGTGAATCTTTAGTTGTCGAAGAAGAAGAAGAAGAAAAATAACCAGGAGCCTCGAACACAACGTTTATAAAGCCGCCGAGGCCCCGCCCCCCCGGAGCTCTCTGATTGGCCCGCTCTTTGTTTATCAACACCAGGCCCCGCCCCTGGAGTGTGACGCCTTCCCAGGAGCACGTGACTGCTCCTGTGCAGAATGAGCCTGAGACAAAAACAAGATTTATTTAATTATCTCAACTCGATTCTCCTGAAACACGATTCACTGGGTTCCACTGTGACTCAGCTCAACCTAAATATACAAATAAATATAATATATAGATATAAATATMTTCTTCTCAACCTAAATATATAAATATGTATAATATATAGATATAAATATATTCTTCTCAACCTAACTGTCCAATATCTGTTTATATACTTTTATATTTTCATCCACGACAGTATTTATTCATCTGCTGCTACCTGGTCCTGCATTTATATATATTTATATCTTCTAATTCGCAGTAACTGTACATCGTTTACATCTGAATTACTACGTCACTGCACCGCAATCACTTGAGTCGTCCAGTATTTATCTACGCGTTTCCAATCTGCGGTGTTATTACATGTTTTGAACAACATGCTCTTTGTGCCTCTGAATAATCCTCTGGGGACAGACGTTGTGAATTTGTCTTCCTGGTGCCGAGAGCTCAACAACACACGTGCAAACACAGGAACCCAAAACGTTTCCAGTGATGAACCTGCTGCAGTTCCGTCACCGCCGATGAGGAGCAGACAAACAAATCATTGACCTGCAGCACGTTCGTCACTTCTTCGTGTCCCCTGGAAACGTCTCCGATGTTGTTTACACAGTTTGCCGTGCGTTTCTGTATTTGCACGTGTCGTCTTTGAGCGTTTGTTGCAGACAGCGAGATATGGGGGTGGAGCTAAACCCATTACAACACGTCCTGAGATGTGTCACAGGGACGCTGCAGGGCCTGAGCAGAATTTGAACCTCAACCCCCGAAGCAATTACACAAACAAACGCTTAGATAAGTGAGATTCAAATACACGTAAACACCTGCGGTGAAGTAAGGCTTCTCCGAGGCCGGATTACCAAACACAGTCGACTCCGCTCTATTTCTGTCCGTGTCATTTGATTCCTGCATCTTGTGGAGCTCGACTCAAACATGGATCCTGTCGACTTTTCAGATCTTAACACGATTGTTCTTTAACAAATATTTAATTTCTTTAGTTTTTTTTTATCTTGTCAAATAATTTACTCACAGAAAACACTGATCAAGGTACTTTTACTAGTTCAAAGAATATGTTTTTGTTGTTCCCTGAAGCACAAGTTCACATATTCTGATAGATTCACAGAAAAACTGTGGAAAGGAGCAGATAGAAACATCTGAGGAGTTGTTTCCAGTTTGGTTTCTGCAGTTTGTTGTAATGAATCCTCACCAGGTTGATCCAGACAGATACAGCTGCAGGAAAATAAGACACGACTCCACATGTGTTAAATCTGCATCTCTGCACGTCTGTAAATATTCAAACCAGACAAACTGAGCTGCACATGTGACCTTTGACTCTCGGCTGTAATTTGATCTCATGAACAACAGGTTTGAACAAAAACTCACAGATTGTCTAACAGGTGCAGATGTTTGGAAAAAGCAGAAGTTCAGAGGAAGTCATGGGATTCATCGGACGCTCTTTACATTTTGTCAACGTTCAGGACAAAGAACTGTGAAGAGGAAGTGCTTCAATTTAAAACATCTAGGGTTTGAGAACAAATGAATTCTCGGAGACTCTCGTCCATCTGTCTACATTATGTCCATGACTACCACATTATCACTTCCCCCTCGTTATATCACGGAAGCCAGGAGACGGAGACTGTGGCAGCCTGACGACCACACAGTCGAACCCTCACACGTCAGATAAGATCCATCACGGTATCAGCGACGGTCAATGTTTGTCTGCGTTCATCAGGGTCAATAATCATGTGATTGATAAGAAGGTGAAACTGATCAAACGCATTGTTCACGACTTCAGGATCAAACCTTTTGCTCTGTAACTGTGACGCCCGAGGTGCAGCGTGATGACAGGAGGTATATTTACTCCTCCGCTGTGTGAGATACTTTGTTTTACGTAACTTGAATATTTAACTTTACTTGAATGTTTCCTAACTTGTGATCATGTTTCACCTCTGAGGCCTAAAGTTAGTTCATTGCATAAGGCTAGCATAGCATAGCTTAGCATACAGACAATGAACTGTGCGGCTTAATAAGTGTGTTTCCTAAAATGTAGAAATAAAACATATTTTATATTAAATATACCAAGTTTTTAAATGACTCCAGTGTGAACGGTCTGAATTATATCAGCGTCTATATATTAAATACTCGACAGAGATGTAATGACTCATTCACATCTGGTCCATGTGATGAAACTTGTCTGAAGTCACATGATGTCGTCACAGCCTCAAAGTAAAAATACATAATTTACTCACATTATTAGAATCTAATCTAAACATATTGTAGTAACTATAAGTGGATATTTATATTTGAGTTCACAGAATCTCCAGAAGAGTTTAGTTTTTTACAGAAACCTCTTTTCTTTTCTTTTCTTATCTGATTTGTTGTTTATGTAAGAAGAGAATCAACGAACCCTGACGAGCGCGTGACGACTGAGAAGCTCGAGTGAAGCCGGATGAGATTCAACATAACATTTTTATTATCTGGAATATTTTGCTGGTTATCTCAGGACTGAAACTCGTCACTCACACAAACGTATTTACTCATCGTTAGGTTTTATACTTTCTGTTTAAGTATTACATTTGTCTCATGTTCTCTGGTTATGTCATAACCACTGGTGACACATTACGACACAGAACACATTTTTATTTTTATTTTTTTACTGTTAAAGTCCAGTCAGCCTCTTTCTTAGATTCCTGTTGAGTCATTTTTATTTTTGAATCCACTTCTCAGTTTCTGTGTCAGGGCGTTGACCTTTAAACCAACAGAGACAACGAACACGTGTGCGGACAATCGTGTGAGAGTCGCCTCAAGAAGAAAAATAAGAATAAAAACTTCTGATGTCGGTGAATGAGGCTCGTTGTTTTTCCCAGCTGCTGTTTCCACCGACCAAGATTAAACTTTAGAAAACTGAAACATGCAAAGTAGGAAAAAAAAGTCATTTGTACAAACGACAGCTGAAGGAACTTCACGCAGATCACGCGATGGGACTGAAAGCTGCAGAACAGCTGAAAGAACCGAACACAACAAACGAGAGGAATTCAGATTCACGACGTTTATCTCTTTTCTGACTGAACAAATATTTTGAATAAAAATCGACACCGTCAGCAGCTGAGACAAGTTGAGACAAACCCTGAGTCCTTCAGCAGCAGTCATGTGAGTGTGAGTGTGTGAGTGAGTGTGTGAGTGTGTGTGAGTGAGTGTGTGTGTGTGAGTGTGTGCGTCGCTGCAGCTCAGGCTCCACAATGAACGCAGAGAAGTGTAAATAACAACCTGGAATTCTGGAACCCAGTGAACCAGAGTGAGAAACTCTCAGTGAGTCACAGCAGAGATTTCAATAAGACGTGAGGTCGTCCTTTAATCTGACAGCTTCAATATTCTTTAATCTTTTCTTATCTTAGTTGATTAGAGTACATTAAAGTTTCCAAGTCACTTTATATTCACACTAATAAGAAACTTCCTCATTTCAACTTCCAATCAAACGACAATCTAAAACAGTGAAGTAGCTTTTTACTGATTTTACATCAGGAACCTTGAAACACAGATTTTTAGAGGTTCTTAAAAAGTGACGTTTTCTATTAATGAGTGTGACGAGTTTGTTTCTGACTCTTTAAAAACAATTAACATCAACTTACTGATTATCAGTTGTACCTTTAACCAGATCAACCAGAGTCATTTTAGGAGCAGAAGTATATTTCTGTTATTATCCTGTTTCCCTCTCGACAGGAACTTTCTCCTGATCCAGATTCTTATTACTCACACTGCTGTTTACACTGTTTATAATATCACCACTTAAACATGTTCATACATTTATTCTGTTGTGACACGGCTGATTTCCCTGTTGTGGGATTAATTGAAGATTATAAATCTTGTTAACTTTTTAAAAATCTGAAATTAGAGATGATCTGCGGAGGAGTGTTTCTCTTCAGGAAGGACAGAGACATTGATATTAGGTAAAGAATTTATTATAAAATGTATTACACTATAAAGTGTCAGAAGTACTAAGAACATGGCATTCCAGGACATGCTTAAAGAACGTAACATAAATAGCGACAATAAGACTTGTGCAATGTGGCGATGAGAGCAAAGGTCACTCCGCTCAGTCGTGATGTCGAGGACGCAGTTCCTCGTCCCACAGAAACTCACAGAACCGTGTTCTTCGGGAACCCTTTTGTTTCAGTTTCACCCGCAGCCAGAACCACGTGGAAAATACAAACGTGATCATATCGTGACGATTCTCAGCTTTTACCGTAGAGTGTCTCTTTTTTTAAATTTTTTTTTTTGCTGAAGCGAGAAACGTTATAGTCACTTCCCTTTGTCAAACATCACCGCTCAGTGTTTACAAGGCAACAACAGAGGAATGAAGAAGTGTGTTTTTCAGGCACACAACGTTGGCAACGGTTTTACACAACTTCAGGAAAACAAGCAAAACAAAACAATGTTCATGAGGGACTTTTCATTTCGTCATGTTTTTATACACAAGTGGGAGTTTCGTCGTTTTCAGGAAAAAGTTTGTCGTACATTCATTTAGCCTCGTTGTTATTGACGTTTTGGGGCAAAACTGAAAAGAGCTGAAACAACAGAAACGAGAGGAGATGAGGGAAAGTCGAGTATTTACACCACAGCTCGAGGTTCGCCGTGTCGGTTGGCGAGTTCAAGCTGAGACAAACAGTGAGAGAGTTTTTAAAATCGTCTGTAAAGTCTCATCTCTGCGAGCAGAGGAAGCAAAGACAAGGAAATACTGCACAGAGCTGCTGGTTGTCTACCAGAGTGAGACGCAGCGTCCAGATAAAGGTTCTTCACAACAACTTCATGAGAATGATTCGGTCTTTTCCCAACATTAAAAACACAAAAGAGCATTTTTTCTGGTCCAGGCTCGTTCACACACACGTTATAAAACACCAGCTTACACAAGGTGAAAATGATTTTCTGTCAACTGAAGCCTCTTTAATTCAGCTTTGTTTCTCTTCAACGTTCTCAACGAGCCGCAGCTTTGTTGAAAAAAAAAGAAAGAAGACAAAGTGAAATAAAAACATGAAGCCAAGCAAAAACACTGACAGAGACACTGAGAAGCTCAGACACAAGCGGCGTCGGTGAAACTGACTCTGCGTCCGCGCTCCGGTCACGCGTGTAGAAAAACTTGTTGCTTTTATTTCGGTAGAAAAGTTTAGAAATCGACCAAATTACAAAATTCACCTCTTCAGGTTTTTGATTTTCACGTTGGCGGCACTTTCCAGTTTTGAGTTTGACCCTGAAGCTGAACAGCATCAGCGCTTCCCGCTGTCGGCCATGATGGATTTTAACACTCTTTAAGTTACAGGTCCCACAGGTTCGAGAAGATACGCAGCTGTGAAATCGTGATAAAGATTCCTGGATGTCGTGGACACAGAGTTTTAAAGTCCATGTGCGTACAAGCTAAAACTGAATCTCCTCTTGAAACCGACTGAGCGCAGAGAATATTTCTTTCTTTCAAACCTGTCGTCAGGAAAACTTCAGTCGAGTCAGAGAGTGAAGAAAGTCATGACCAAGACAAAATAAACTCTGATGCGATGAAACTGAACTGTAACTTTCTGCTGCTCCTCAGTGCAGAGCTTTGGTTTCACAGGAGAAAACGACTTCACGACTCAAAGTAAATAAAACGGTTGTTCCTGTTCTCTGCACCAAACTACACGATTCTCTCCAGGAATCTTTCAACAAAACCCCGAAGATGAAACGTTATCAAACGAATCCAGAACAAACTATTTTCGTTGGATGAATAATACTTATAGAAATACGGAGGGCTCTGGAAAAAACCCAACAATGCACCAGTTCAAGACCAAACTGTTTCCCTTTGACTCACAGCGTCGCATCAGCTCCGCACTGAGTTCAACACGAGATCAAACGTCTCCTGACGACACATTGAGCAGAACTCAGCAGAAATCAGGATCTGATTTCAGTCACGTTTGTGAAATTCTAATTTTCAGATTTTTTTTTTTTTCTTGAATCGACGTTTTGTCTCATCTGCTTGATTTGGACGTCGAGTTACGATCGGTGTCAACAAGGCACAGTTGTTCAAATGTTTGGAAAGAACCACTGTCACAGGGAGTTTGTGCTCTTTAGGGAGGTAGAAGGCCACAAAGGCAGAAATGCTGTTAAGGTTTGAAACACGGAGCCGAGCGGCCTCATGGGTATGAGAAAGGTCCGAAAACACGAGACCGCCATCTTTTCCCGTCTGTTTATGTGGATGAGATTGAACGAGTGTTCGCTGCGAGGAGAGAGAGAGAGAGAAGGAGGAGGAGGAGGAGGAGGAGGAGGAGGAGGGATTTTAAAAAGCAGCACGACAAGATTAAGAACAGAATAAAAGCAGTTTCCTCTTTGGAGCTCGGGACGTTTTCACAACATTCATAGTGGGAGGAGAGTTCAGCTGTACAGATGTGGAGAGCACAAACACAACATCTGGCTCCGACGCAATGGGAGTGATTGAAGAGCGAGCTGCTCGACTCAGGTAACGATTGCACTTGTTTATTTTCACACACACACACACACACACACACAGGAGTCCGTCAACGTCCTGTTCAGGGAGAAAAGTCTCATCGGACAAACCGTCTCGTTCGGCGAGGACAGAGAGTCGACCCCGTTCAGCGGGACACGACGGAGCTGATGGAGTTATACGACATGCCTCCGTTGCAGGTGGGGGGGTAGCCGTTGACGGCTCCGCCCACTGCCTCCATGTTGACCTTGAAAACAGGAGAAGCTTTGAGCAGGAAGTCGGCGGCGTCACGGCGGCCAAGCTCCCTCAGTTTGGCCATCAGCACGCCGACCGTGCTGTCCGCTCGCGCGCTCCACTCCTGCAGCAGCGCCGCCGTCGGGCTGGGCTGCAGCGCGGCCTGCTGGGAGTCGGGGTCCAGCTCGGGGGTGCCATTCGGAGTCCCGTTGCTGTGTTTGGCCACCAAGTCTGTGAGGCCCAAGTTCATGGCGAGCAGGCACCAGTCTTTCCCCAGCGCGTCAGGGGGGTCCAGCATGCGGCACAGCTTCCTGCGAGCCAGAAGGGGGACGTCTGATATGTGGATGTCTGTTCCCAGAATCCCCTGCTGGTAAACTTCAGCACAACCGAACACCAGAATGCTGCTGAAGCTCTCCCGGTAGCCTCCCATCGTGTTGGTGAGGGAAGTTTCCCGCTGGACTTGAGCCCGGAAGAAATCTTTGGGTTGGTAGATCATGATGGGGGCGTGGTGTTCCCGCAGCTGCTGGGGACTCAGGTAGTATTTGGCGGTGAGCAGTCCCGGGAGCGTGGAGGCCAGTAGGTTCTCCGTAATGCTGCAGATGGTGTCCAACAGGGTGTAGCACTTGGCCCGCTCGGAGTCGTGTCCACGCACCTGAATCTCCAGCCCCTGCCCGTGGTTGACCAGCAGGATCATGGCCTCCACCGCCCCCTGGCTCACCTTGGCTCCGTTCGTCCAGAGGTGAATATCTCCGTCGATGTCCTCCCCGCCCTCCTCCTCCGGCTTCTGCTGGTGGCTCCAGCGACACAGGTTCACCTGCAGTTTGTGGAACAGGCCGCAGGGGAAGGGGGTGAGGTGCTCGGCAGGGACGAGTCGCACGCCGCCGTAGAGCAGAGACTCTTCTTCCTCTTCTTCGGTCCAGGAGCGGTGGAGGCCGTTTGTCTTGATGAGGGCAGGAACATCCACCATGGAGGGGTTGGTGGCGTCGCGGGCGCAGACATCCATGGCGTCCAGAATCTGCAGCAGCTCGTCCACGTCACTTTCGGGGGCCAGAGCCTGCACCTCCTCCAGCCTGTAGCGCCCCCTGTAGTGGTGGATGGCCTTGGGCGTCTCCACGGAGAGCAGCTTGCCGAGGACGTTGCTGCAGAGCCAGCGAGGCTCCAGCAGAACGACGTCCTGCACCGTCTCACTCTGCATGATGTTGATCTGTGGAGGGAGGGAGGAAACAAAAGAGGAGAGATGGTGAGGACAGTAAAATATGAGAAGAAACAAAGTGAGAGAAAATCAGAAAGAGACAGAGAGGAGGACAAATATTCAGGAGGACGTGAAACAAACGTGACATCATAGTAACATCAGACTTAAGATAAACTTCCTGTGCTGACTCATTCTGGTAAATAAACATCTTTTTTATCTTTTATTTTTTATGGATGAAAAACCTTCTGGGTTAAATTAATTTATGGAAACACAGCGCACCCTGGTGTTAGTCTGGTGCAGTGACAGACAGCTGCTGATAAGAACACACACCTCTCCCATGCTGTGGAGCTGCATGGCCAGCGTGCGGAGGTGATCCTGGCTGACCAGAGGGTTGATGTGCTCCTGGACGTCGCTGACAAACTGCTGCCACGACGTCAGCTGGTTGGGTCCGCTCAGCTTCCTCCAGGACGGCAGCGTGGTCAGCAAACGCTCCGACAGCAGCGTCATAGGACTGCACCTCTGCAACGACAAGCGGAGTCACAACACGTTAGAATTTTCTCTGTGATCAGATAGAAGGAAGCAGACAACAGGGAGGGAACGTTTTCGGATTCCTTCAGATTGACGAGGTCATCTGGGTCATTTTATACCAAGTTCAACGAATATTTGTACTTTCAAATTACTTCTGTTATCGCTCGTGTTCTTTCAGGGAGATTACAGTGAGAAGACACAGTGAGAAGACACAGAGGAGTGAGAGGAAGCAGTGCTCACAGATATGATGTCGGTACGAAGCTCCTGTAAGTGACTCCGCAGCAGCTTTATGTCTTTGGAGTTTGTGGCTCCGGCATCCATCACAAACAGTTTGTCACTAATCTGCATGTCGATTCCAAACCTGAAATAAAACAAGACAGACACTTTTAAAAAGGGACACCTCCTTACAGGATTAATGAGATTATATGAAGTAGCATCACTTGGATATTGAGACGTAAACAGCAGGTTTGTGGTGTTTTGCTCACAACTGAAAAAGTTGCTGAGGCTCATGGGTACTGTAGTATTTACAAGCTATTTGGGGCTATAATAGAAACCTGCTATAAGTTATTACAGCATTGAAGGGGGTTTCATCTCCCAACCTGTTTCTGACTTCCTTGAGCAGAGCTCTCTCCTTGTCGTAGCTGAAGTCTCCAGAAAACGCTCTGGGGACGTCAGCGAGGTCGGCGTGTGTTGCCACCAGGACGACCACGAGAGGCTGCTGGATCCGACCCCCGAAGGCTGGAGAAACACCCACAACCACATGAGTGAGTTTAAATCGGACACAAAAGCTTTAGACGTTTTTTAACATCAGATTTATTAGCCAACAAAACAAAAGAGTGTGTTCAAACACCTTCTACATGTTGTCTGGTGAAATCCAGAAACTATAAATCTCTGTTAAAGTCAATAAAATAAGATTAAATCAAGCAAGTGATCACAAAGTCACCACAGTAGAAGCAGCTTCCTCATTAAGGATTTAATTGCACTAACACTCTTCTCGGCTCAGTCGCTCACATCCCGTCACTTCTCATGTGAAATCTGGTCTTTAAAGATATTTAATAACTTTAAATATCTTAGTGCATTTTATTACAAATGTGATGGTTCATTAATCTGAGTTTCTGCAGCTGTTAAACTAATTAAATTCAGGACTTAACATTTATTTTTATTGGTTTAAGATCATTTAATGGTCATACTGGTCAAAGAGTGGGACATTAAAGCTGCAATTCTTTACTTAGTAAATAAATTGCATCCCAGGTGCAGATAACTTTTATCTGTTGTCACAGGACTTAGTTTATAAATGTTGAAATAAAGGTTTTTAAAAGCAGACAGAGTTTTTTCTTTTAAAGGTCTTTTTGAGGAAACTGAATCCGGAGCTTCAGGTTTTTTTCCAGGCCCCTGCTGATATCGTGTTGATGCAGCTGTGGTTGAAGAGTCGTGCTCACCGATGTTGTCCTGGGGCAGAGCGAGAGCCTTCAGCAGGTTCAGCCAGTAGGTGATGTGGCTCAGCTGAGTCTCGTACGGCTCCTCCAGGCTGAACAGGACCAAGTGGATCGCCGTGACGTCGTTGGTGGCAAAGTAGTCGTAGGAGCAGTAATAGACCGGGTTCCCCGAAAACTCCCACACGCTGAAATCCCCCACACCTGCAGAGAGGGACAGAAGTGTGGTCAAAGTATTTCCTGTGACACGCTCCAGTTTTGGTGAAACGTAGGTGCCCTCGGCTCTCACCGTGGATGTTGGCGTGCTGGATGTCGATGGCCTTCGTGGCCTGTTCGTCAGCGGTGGACAGAGCGCTGTGGACGGGGGAGAAGACCTCCAGGACGCCTTTGGTGAGACTGGGCTCAAACATCATGCTGCGGCTCCGCACGCTGACATTCTCACAGCCTGGGTACAAGTTGGAAATACTGACCGACACTGAAGCACAGAGGAAAATAGAGTAGATGGAAACTGTTAAAGTCTAAAGCAGCAAAGTATTGAAGTATTAAAACAGTGGTTGATTTTAATTAATTACGTTATTATGATTATATCATTATTATTGGAAACATCTGTGGAGTAAAGTTTTATCCTATCTTGAAATATTTGTTGAAATCTTCCAGCTCAAATCTTTCACATATTTCTCCACTGACTTAAACGGATCTTATTTTTCACACTTGCTGACACAAGGTGGCGCTGTTCTACAGAAGATAAATCTTTCAAACACTGAGGGGCCACACCTACAGCTGCTTTTCTATGGTGGAAAAAAAAACTGTCTGCAGCAGCTTACATTAGTTTACGTTCATCGTGACGTATTTTGACTTTATTGGTTGGATAAAGTTTGAGTTTATTTCTTTTCTAATCCATCACGACATGATGTTTACGTTGTCTGTTATTTCACTGATTAGTTAAAGTAAAAGGATTCAGGGAGATCAGTCTCTGCCAGACAACAACACACAGAGCTGAACACTCAGTTATGTGGCTAAAAGCATCATGAAGTACAAATATTGACACCAGACGACAGTAAATAGAGTTTCAATGAGTATGAATGTTTCCAACGTGCCGCGTTCAACAGGCTCATAAAAGTTGAAGATTGATGCCTGAACTGAATCTGCTTGAATAGAAATCTAAAAACTAAACAGACGGACATCACCATGGTTTTTATTCCCTCTCAGTTTGTTTGTGTTGCGACATCACCTCAGTTACAACAGAGTCGACAGAGACAGTTACTGAATTCAGCCAGAAATTAACCAAAGAAAACTAAATCTTTTCCGTGCAGCTCGGACTCAGACCACAGGTTTGCAAACAGTGAAGAAGACGGGATTGGAAACTTTATACCGCTCACATGAATGAGCATTATCTGAGCAAGCATCAGGTCTGGGAGGTAAAGGCTGAGCGCTCTGTGTGTGTGTGTGTGTGTGGGTAGATGATAGTAAATACAGAGAAGGATTGATGAGAGTTTGTTTTTCTTACACTACACTGAACATGTCATTGAGTCTTTACACATCTGACACAGATTTTTCTCTTTTCTTAGACCAGGAGGAGTAAAAGCTGTTTCTACTTTAAAGAATAACTGAACCTCTGATCTGCCACCAGCTATCATCTGACGCGGAAACAGGGCAAAAGGCCAAGTCAAATATTTTGGGGGTTCTGGCATCTTACGTCCATCGTACACAGTTTACAGTTCGACTGGTTTCTTCTTTCACACGATTAACACGTTCTTTCACCGTCTGTGATCGTCACAATCTTAGGTTTTAAAAAGACACGAGTTGAACGTTAAACCAAATTAAACTGTTTCATGGACTTGATGAATTGTGAATGAAGGTGAACAAACATTAAATCAACACTGTTAATGTGCATTAACGTGACTTGCAGATGAATCGATGTGAGTAGGTAATTCTGCTTCTTGGCAGGTGATCTGGAGGATTAAACCTGTGTAGGATTATCACAGCTCCCTCAGAGCCGCCCGTTACCTACCGGCAGGTTTGGAGTTGACGGGGGAGTTGGGGTGACGGGCCGTGTTGGTCATGCGTGTCGTCCTCCTCCTCCTGAAGAAGCTGCGGAGGATGCCACATTTCAGAGACTCCAGCAGGGAGCTCTTCCCGGATCCGGAGTGTCCGAACAGCTTCAGCTTGATCCTGGGCTGGACGGTCTGCGTGGGCCGCAGCTGCTGGATGTAGCTCAGCTTGAGGTTGTCCTGAAGCCCCAAAGAAAAACAAAACACACGTTTATTAAAAACCACTCATAGTTCAGGTCACATGGAAAAACACCTTTAAACTCCCATAAGAGTCCACAGGGATGCTAGCTGCACTGAGATCCTGGAGTTAGTTGCTTCCAGCTCGACACACGTGATAATTAGCAATAAGAGGAAACCATATACGGAGGAGTGAGGGGTGGAGCCTGACCAAGAGCTTGAGGACAAGGCAACCTGCACCTGGACGGTACGAGCTGTCGCTTTCTCATAGACTTCTATAGAAACAACCAGTGGAGTCGCCCTCTGCTGGTCATTTGAGAGAATGCAGGTTTCTTCAATGTCAATGATAATGATGAAAGGCAGAAAAATAAAAATCCGAACATATGAGATTAGATCACATAAAATGATTTAACACATTTTTTCAAAAGTCACAGACTGTGGGTCTATTGTGGGGTCGACTCTCTTCATTACTTTAACGGATCTTAACTAATCTAAAAGTTTTTCTATGGTTCATATACTCGAGCATGAAACTCATTTCCAAACACTCCTCTGCCTCCTCCTGTAATTCTGCCAGTTCATCATGAAACATCTGTTAACGTGTAAAACACTTAAAACTGATCCAATAGATGAGTCATGAATCAGAAGTGACCTCAAATGCTGGTGTGGTTGTGTGGGATGTGAAAACACTCCACACTCCCACCCGGGTTACGTTAATAAATAAATAAAAGAAAATAAAAGAAATTCAATCCATGTGATTCACATCTGAGCAGAAAACAACACTTTTCCTTTCTGAAATACATTTAGTCGACCTCTTTTTATCCGTCTTGTTCTCTCTGTGTTGCTGGGAAGTCTGCGTCGTTCTTTCAAATCTGGCATCAGTGTGTGAAGTGTCTTAAATTAGCCCAGCATATGCAGAGGGTGACTGTTTTCGCAGTTGCTGCTTTCATGTTTTCACGCTCTGCACTCAATCTCAGCGGGTTTTCTGGAGAAAAACGGATTAGAAGAGAAGTCGCTAACGTTTAACTTTAGGTGAAAAAGAAAATGTAAGTCTCTGGCGTGGTTTGGCGGAGGTGACCTGGTTCAGACTGGGAACACTGGACGCAGCTCCTCGTGCACCTCTGGAGGGAAGAGGGTAGAAGAAGCTGAATGTCGTGTCACAGGAGATTCTCAGCTTTGATCACAGTGGTTCGAGTCCGGTCTGATTGAGTGTGCGGACAGTTACACTTTTCTAGCTCCTCACGCTCTGCGCGTCGGTACATTAAACTGAGTTGAAGCATTTCATCGTCCGTGTCTACCTGTGTGAGTGAGTAAAGTGCTGCCACAGTCTAAAAGCGGCAGCAAGACGAAACCTAACACATTCCTGCTGGAAAACGTCTCCGCACACCTCAGCGCACTGAAATAGACCGACGGGAGATGAGTGTTTGTGAAACCTGGGTTTGCATAACACAGTCTTTTTCCCTTGATTCCATTTGAATAGTAAAGTTATGAAGAAATCACCAAACATCATTAATAAACATAAGGTTGTGTGTGTGTGTCCTCTTTATTTATTCATGTTCACCTTTTTCAGCTTTCCCAACAAAGCAATGATGTGTTCATGTTGATCGGTCGAAGCCAAATCCTCCGCTGTCTTTCCATCCTGAGGGACGAGACAGAAAAACAGAAGAGAAGGATAAATATATGCATGAGAACTCGTCAGCAAACAGATAATCCTCAACATTTCCTGCGGCTGTTTAAATGTGCACTCCAGTGTTTTTTTAATTCTCTCTGCTGCAGAGTGTTTCAGTTCAGTACGTGCTCCATCATTCTTTCTCTGGTTACGACTCTTGTTACTCTCTCCATTTTCTCCTCAACACACTGACACAGAAACGCCACAGTCCCGACAACTTTCACGTCGCTTTCCCTGACTCGGCCATCTGTCACTGTCCGGCTCTGGCTGATGCATCGACAGCCTGAAACGCCCACAAACCACTTCCCATTTCTACAGAGCACTGAGGCAGAGGACACTCGACTGTGTTGGAGAGAGAGTGTTTCATCCAGAAAAATAAAATCATTAAAACACTTTGAAATCGCTCTTTTCATGCGAGACCTTCGTCGTACAAGCTTTACTTCCCTCTTGGTTTCAGTTCGTCCTTCTCTAAAGTGCTCCTCTCATAAGGTCACATCGTTTTCTAGGAACACAACAAGAACAGCGACCTTTGAGTTGTTTGGATCGACTGAATGTCTGAAATGTGCGAGTAAGTGAAGAGCAGCTCCAACTGAGAGCTGACCACTTAGTGTGATTTTAAAATGCGAACAAATTCCTGGGACTGCGCTCGTACAGATGGCGGAGTGTCACGATTATTACTACTGATGCTTGGCAGCGACAGAGGAGCGGCTGGTGTTAGGTTCCACGCAAAACACCAGATGAACATTTGATCGTCTGTGGCGTCTTTAGGGAATATAACTGAAAATAGATCCGTCGGAGCAGTTTGTTAAGATATAGAAAATCATCTTCATTGCAGTGTAGGTCATAAACCCCACCTCCTCCATGTTAGCAGATGGACAAAAGTAACAAGTCAAAGAACATATTGAATAAGATTTCCCAAAGCTGGTTTCTGTCATTCTAGGTTTTAATCAGTGATTTGATTCTAAAAAAAAAACAAAACTCAGTGAAACGTCATGATTGGCAGCTGAGACTGACTTTGGAATGGTTGAGTTTGGTATCGGCAGAACCTCGATACCACAATACCTTCCCACAATCCTTAGTGCGGAAACTCTGGCTTAGAATGACGTCAAAAGTGCAACATCGTGGAACCAAATACAGGATATTTTAATCTTCATTCGGAAGCAGAGACACGTTGTCCGTCTTTATTTACAGTTTACGGATTAAAAAAAGGAGAAGAATGATCCAAATGCTTTAAATTTGTGGCGTGTGGCAATTTCTCCTTTCAGTGTCCAAGGAAACATCTAAACTGACCAAATCATCGAAAATCGAAACTGCGAGCTTTCCGTTTCCTCTGAAAACCACTAACTGCAGGTCACTGCACGATGAATTATACATTTCAGTGTGTGATTTCCAGATTAATCATGCATCAAGTAGCACATCAGCTGTCATACAATATTAACGGCTCCAGAATGCAGCAGGAGAGAGAGAGAGAGAGAGAGANAGAGAGAGAGAGAGAGAGAGAGAGAGAGAGAGAGAGAGAGAGAGAGAAAGAGAAAGAGAGAGAGAGAAACCTCTGGCAGTTTTATTTCTTAATGTTAGTCACACACCTCAAAATATCTAGAGATATTTAAAGACAATAAAAACGTATTAACTAACCAGATGAGAGTGAAATAAAATGTCCTGACTATATATTTAATACATTTTTAAGTAGAGCCAGACAGATCTATCAGCAAAAAGTACTGCAATTAGCTTTTTAAAGACGTATTAATGTCTACTAATATAAAAACTTTTATTTAATGTAAACAACACAAAAAAGATGCATTTGTTTGTTTTATGCACAAAATGATTTAAGCTTCAGGGTCGATGTATTTGGTTGTACTTCAGGTCTGAAGCATCGAGACGTCCCACAATGGATGTGAGGCACATGTGTCCTGACAAGACAACGACCTTGGTGCTGCACAGACAAATCTACATGAAGAACGTCCTCACTGAAGTGAAGCAGACGCGACTGTGAGCCAAAGGATTTTAAAACATGATGCAGAACTGAGACAGAGAAAATGCTGCTGCTGCTGCTGCTGCTGAGATGAATTTAATTTCAGGGGAGACTCAAAACAGATGAGGAACAATCCAGGAAGCATTACGTCTCATGTTGGACGAAGAAAATGAAGAAAGAAATGAAGGATCAGTTCCTGCTGTTATGTAGAGGATGTTAAATGACACATCCGGCAGACATCACAGCTTGCAAACATATTTTGTCGCCAGCTTAAGACACTATCTCTTCTGGATTTTGGAATTTTCACCCACTCCTCCGGCCGATTTCTTGAAATTCTGACATGTTTTTAAGCCGCGCACACAGCAGGTCTCGGATCCGCCCACAGACTTCAGTGACGTTGTTCGAGTCAGGGGGCTGTGAGGGCCGTCCTGTGTTTCACCTTTAGATCTGTCATCAACATGCCCACTTGCTAGCATGTGGAGCCGCTAGGACCTTTTCCTGAGATTTTACAGGGGGGTTGGCCAGAGGAACAGACTCAGACATTTGCTTTCTCACATATATTCGTTATGTGACGTAATGGAACTTTTCTCTAGAGTATATCCACCTCCTTGTTTTGCAGAAGACAACGGGATGTTTACTTAGTGCCCAAACTTCTGTACGGGACATCACTACAACTAATTCCTGGAGAAATATCAGCTGGCAGAGTTCCTTCATTCTCTATGACAACAAGGTGAGAGCGCGGTGCAGCTACAAAACAGCTTTGTGTGCAGCATTTAAAGATCATTGTACGTGCACTCCCACAGATCTGAGGTCAAACTCACTCACATCCACATGAAATGACTGATTCTGGTCTCTGACTCCTCGTACCGATTCTGAGCGGTTTGATAAAAGCTGTTAGCCTGAGGCTGCTGGAGCCCTCGACTTCTTACCTGCTGCTTAGACTCGACGGAAAACAACTCGACGGTCACAAAATGTTTTCTTCAAGACACCTGATGTTTTTTACGACTTACAACTGACCTACCACTCCATTATCACTTTAAATGGAGATAAACTAACATCGTATGATCGTTTGTAGTGAATCTACTTTCTATCATTTTATATAAATTAGAAAAATAAATATACATGTCCTGAATAACGGTCAATGTGACACCAATTATAAAGGAAAATAGAGCCAGAGATCAAAAGGTACACTTATGTAACTCTCATGTTACCACGTGATTTCTTTGGAAAATTTAAGGAAATATAGAAAAATTGTCTGACTACAAACAAACATTTAATTTGTGGTGATTCCAAAATGTTTTAGATTTTCTTTTCTTAAATGAATTTAATAAAAAAACAATTGAGAAGAAACTGGAAAACTGGAACATCTGATCACAGTTTGAACATTTCAGTGAGCACACAAGTGAACGAGGAGAAGATTGAAGAGGCTGAAGTAGAGCGGGAGGTT